TATTTACATACTCTCTACTCCAAACTTTAATCCTTTTTATCTAGATTTCTAGTATATCAAACAGAAACCCTCCATATGTATCACAGAAGCATAATTATAATAAAGAACAAAAATCCATCTTAACAAGTGCAAAGAAACTTCCTAGCTCTATTTATCATTTGACAGGATCTTCTCTTCTCTCTTCATATAAATACATACCATTTCACCAACCTAGTTCTGCAATAAAAACTATCACAAATCCATGACTTTAATTCACAATTCCTCACTCTTGTGATCTATCTAATTTTACTTATCCCAACACTTAACATTCGCAAAAATGGCAAGGAAAAGACGGGCCAGTGAGGGACTTAGTGAAAATAAAATGCACAATGATGATCAAGCTGGGAATGCGGCCTGGGAAGAGATGGTAAAGGAAGCAGCTACAGCAGCCGCGCTCGGGGGAGCGCGAAGAGCACGAAAAAGATTTGTGGGTGTTAGACAAAGGCCATCAGGAAGATGGGTTGCTGAAATAAAAGACACCATACAAAAAATAAGGGTGTGGTTAGGGACTTTTGACACAGCTGAAGAAGCAGCAAGAGCATATGATGAAGCTGCTTGTTTACTTCGTGGAGCCAATACTCGTACGAATTTTTGGCCTAGTTCTTCATCTTCTTCTTCTACTCCAGCTCTTCCTTCAAAAATTACCAACCTTCTTCTTAATAGACTCAAAGCTAGAAATAATTCCATAGCTGCCGCTGCTGTTTCTTCTTCTGATTCTTCTGAGCCTGTGGAAACTCGTGATCAGGACAAACAGTTAGAAGAATACAGAGATGAAACAGCTTATTTTTCTGATTCGCAGTTTATGGAGTATCTCAAAGACCCTGAAGATCAAATAATTGATAATAGCATGAGCACCAATACGTGTGCAATTGCCATGAACAATTTCACAAACACCTTGGACGCATGCTTGACTGAAAACGATTACAGTGTAGTTCAGCCAGTGATGAAAAGCGATGAAATTAACTCGATTGGTGGAGAGATTAACAATAATATTGTGGAAGTAGACGCAGAAGAAGAAGATGAGATTGAAGAGGAAAATGATAGTAGTGATATAGGAGATGTAGAGCCAATTAGTTTCCACTTTGTTGATGAAATTGAATCGTCGTGTTATTATTCACCATTTGAGATTGCTGACGAGATTAATTCAACAGACACAATGGATCAGCAGGGGATATTTTACGGAGACGAGTCATGTATAAGTGAGGCTATGAGGAGGATGAATTACGAGAGGAAATTCTCAGCATCACTTTATGCATTCAATGGGATTACAGAATGCTTAAAGTTGAAGCTGAAATCAGGAGGAGTTGTGCAGAGAGAAAGATCTGAACAATTAAGCAGACTCAGAAATGCATGCAAAAGGAACCGTAAAGAGGATGAGAAGAAAATTAATAAAGAAGGAATTAGCACAGAAATGGGTGAAAGAAAGGAAACTGAATACAGTTCACAAAGTTCATTAGAAACTGGACAATCAGAGACTAGTTATGAAAGTGAATTGTCTCTCTGGAGCTCAATTGATTTACCACCAATCTGCGCCTTTTTTACTTAGAAAAAAACATTGTTCTAGGGATTTTCTTGGTTTCTTTTCTTTTTAGTTGTTGTCTAATCAGGTAACTTTTGTTTTCACAGGGTCAAGATGAAGATTACTCTGTGTTCGTTTATCTTTTTAAAGATCAGTAGACACTGATCTTGGTCTCGGCAAAACAAGGCATCTAAAGCATAATGTTAGATGTTATCTTAGAATTCATGAGTTTGGTTTGTGGAATATAATATACGACTTATTGTCCAACTTTTGATCTCTTCAAATTTGAATTAGGTCAATTCGTCATGGTTTTCCAGTGAGTTATATGTAAATAAAAAGAAAAAGGGACATTGCCTCCATTTTTCAAATTAATATAATGGAAGCATAGGTGAACCAAGAGGTCACGGGTTCGAGCCGTATAAACAGCTTCTTGCAAAAATGTAGGGTAAGACTGCGTACGATAGACCCTTGTGGTCTGGCTCTTCCCCATACCCCGCATAGTGGGAGCTTAGTGCACCGAGCTACCCTTAAGCACAGGTGAATCCAGAACCAATGAGTTCAAAACTATTACTATGTTCTTGATCTTGAAGGCTCGTTTATCTCAAAAAAATCATGTTCTTACGCAACATATTGTCTAAATATTAACATAAAGTGGTTATATCTCAGAGTGATCAAGGTCTGTAAGCTTACAGATTGTCAGAACATAAAGAAAAGAAAATCCTGTGAAACCGAAAAGAATAATAAATTAACTAGGAGAGAGGTGCGCAAGAGCACACTAATAAATTAAAGCCAAACAATACAAAAGGTGTCAAATGACTCATCATCTTTTGAATGCTTCCCGTTAGTTCAGTCTGTTAACTGAACACCAGGGAACCAAGAACAATAGAACACTATAGTAAGCACGTTACAGATGGGAAAATCTAGAACTCCTAGCGAGTCGACAAAAAGATTTGCTAGGCACCTCTGACAAAGCAGGGTGGAATTTAGTAACAGAAATTTTTGTAACTGAGCTGGTATATCAATTATATACATGGACTAGCTCTCTAGGCAAGCATCAATAGTTTTACAGGTTAGATCAAGATTGCCCGACTTTAGAGGACCCGAAGCTGAGCAAGGAAAGCAGCACAGAGATCCAAGAAAAGGAACTGTGGACCCTGTACTCTTTGAAGGTCAAGCAGGTACTTCTCCTCCCGAGTTTTATAAAGCTGCAATCGTTCACAAATTTAAAAGAACTCAGTTTAAAGGAATTTCAACAATATCCAAGCTCATTAGCTGATATTTAAAGCAGTATAAAAGAGAAAAAGGGTCATCCAAACAATGTACTGTCACTCAAGCACCACAGCATAGACTAACTGGATTATAGTGTTCAAAAGAGAGAAATACTAACACAAGACCTTCAATAGAAGTCCAAGACTATATTATTCGGTAAGGTTTGTGCTTTAAGTAATATCTATCCAAATTTGCTTCTAAAACATACTGGAATACTAACTAAAAGCAAGCAAGAAATTTGAAACAATGCCACAAACATCCATTAATTCACTGAAATTCAGGGATATGCTTTAAACACACAACAGCACTCACAAAATCTGCTTCAGGACCTCCATAGTAAGCCTTCCACCGATCATGGACATTATACTTCACCATCTTTACATGGAGAAGATTTCTTTCTCACCTAACTTATTCTGTGTTGTTTGCTTATCAAAAATAAAAACAAAAATTATTTGATGCTGTTTACATCATAATTGAGCTCTAACATTCATTTGTATGCCACAACATAGACTATCCAATGCCCTTCAAGATAATCATACTTTCTGTGAGGTTCTCTAATTCTTTTAAACCCTTGTATGAGGGACTTTTCACTTTTAAATCAAATATTATTACATGTAAAAATATTCAAAATATTCTTAACACAGTCTTAAAGGCTAAAGCAGCATCATACGACCATATACGTAGCGCTTCACAGGCATATGAAATCTAGATACAGAATGGCAGGATATTCGTTACCTGAACTTCAAACTTCACTGCATAAGGTATAGTGACACCACCGTTCTCAATGATGGTTGAATCATCTCCAAAGAATGGATTGTGTATGGAATTATTACTCATGCCTTCATGATGTCCAGGTACGCCAGGAACCCATTGGCATTTCATGTTGTAGGGTCCGATCTTCTTCCAACGTACATTCAGTCCTTGCAGAGCTTTCAGAACTTCTGTCATTATCTCACGTGGATGCGCTCGAGACTAATGCAAAGCCAAAACAAACGGTGTAGCATATTGTTTATCAGAATAAAGACCTAGATTGGGTTAAAGGAGTTCAATTGAGAACTCATTCAATTGGCAAATGTCATAAATGGAACAGTAACTGATTTTGACCAATGAATCAAGATCTTCTCGATGCCCGTAAGAATTTTGACACACATTCCACATGAACCTATGAAGAAACAAGTTCTCAAACACTGTCTTTCCTCCCTCCACTGGTTAACAAGAACCAATTTTCGCACATTTTTACGGTAATAACTAAATAAGATAAATGTATAGCGACTTGCTTGAAAGTCCACATACCTGGAGCCCAAGAGCCCATTTCCTTTCGACAGGAAACTGCCTCGCACCAACTTGTTGAAAATCCATTATTCCAGGCAAGTGTTGCCCAACAGGGGAAGCAACAGCTTCACTTGAATTTATTTGATGATAACCGTATTCCTGTAGTGACATATTAAAACATCCATAAGCAAAATTGTTTCAGAGAAAAGATAGGATTAGAAAAATGCAGCTTAACTAAATAATTAGATGCTCAAAATGCTGTATTTTTAGGGAAGAGGTCCATTACAAATTGGTAAGGAAATGCACTCCTTGTTTACTGAAACAGATCACAAAGAAACTGCAGATTCGTTCAACAAAAACATGCAAAACGCACCATAGTCTCCTGGAATTCAGCTCCCATGTAGCCACTGGAAGCACGAAAGCGGTTGTCCAGCAGCAAATAGTACGCCACAGTACCCTGAAACATTGAAAAATGTCAAACTGGCTGTTCAGATTATTTTAACAAAAAAAGAGAGAAAGAAGATGGTTGGATCAGTAACACTACCTCATTCTGAACTCTATTGCAGAGAGAGGCGACAAGGCTGTTCCTGTCAAATCCCCTTTTGACCACCTCTTGAAGAATATCTTCATCAATCTGCAATTAAATATTTTAATTTACCAGGGAAGATTATCTGATTCATAACAGTATTTAAAGCTGTAAATTGAGGAAAATCGTGAATGGAAATGCTAAGAAGACCCTAGATATCATATAACAGCCAGATGGTGAGTGAAGATTTGTAATACCAGATCACTGAAACAGCAGGTAAGAACTCTGTTCTTGTATCAAAAGATAAGCGATGCTTGAATTGATAAATAAGGATATCATATTCAAGCATTTAAAGGGAATCCGGTTCAGCAAGACAAATTTGACA